TGTCATCCTTGCGTCGCTCGAGCGAAAAGCCGTTGATCGCTTTTAGTCGAGTTGTCGCTTGAGCGGCAGTATTACATGGCCAAACCCTAGATCGCGATTTTAGAGAATTTTACACGGCCCATGACACCTATTCATCCCCAACTATAAATATACAAGTTGTGGACGAAATTCTGAGGGTAGCTAAATTATGCTTCATCCTCATAACATCTTCACAACATATTTTGAGAGATCCAAGGAATGCTTCGAATATTGATCCATTCACATTGACCTTGTGATCTGGCAAACAAGTTTTAGAAAAACATCAAAAGTTCGAGAATCCAAAATACCTAGCTTTGCTTAATTCTTTGAGATAGGGACTCTCTCGTTGGGGATTGAGAAAGGTAGACATTAAGCACATGAAGCACAAGAACAAGAGGTTATTGGAATTCCACTTGAGAGAGACAATTGGTATAAGATCAAGAGGCTGGAAGAAGATAGCAAATCTTGGAGGTTGTAGGAAGTAGATTTGGAAGTCTAGTGGAATGGCTAGACAATGTCTATGGTATTAGATCGTGAGATTGGAAGATTGAAAGCGGATCTTAGAGATTAATAGAATTACAATAGCTAGAACTAGTGGAAGTTTGTAGGCTGGAATCACACTATATTCCTAATTGTCTAGAGTGGAGGTAACTGGCTTGGTCCCGAGTCTTTTCCACGTTGGGTTTCTCTGTCAACAAATCTTGTATTTTCACTGCTTTCCATATTATTATTGCGGCATTGAAACTTAAGGAAATTTGACTTGTATGTATAATCATCTAGAAAACTAATTAAAAGTGACTTGTTGCTTTAATTAGTCAATTCCGCACATAAGGTCGAATTAATAAATTGTTTGAAACGTAAACTTGGTAATTTTAAAAGTTGAAGTAGTGTGTAGTGTCCCAAACTCGATTTCACATATATAACAATTGCTGAAGTTTCACCGAGCTTCAAATGCATTTATTGGTCCATATTTTTTGGCTAATTCATTGAAATCACGACGTGGAAGTAAACTTAAAAGATGCAAATGTCCGATTATGGGCAACTGTGTGGGACCTGGTGGGAGATTTCGTTGTTTACTAGGAGTTTGGGATTTCTTCCATCTGGTAGTGAACAAGAAAACTAGAGACAGAAATATAGTTTAAGTAGTGAAGTTAAAGGGGATATGGAGATCCATTTTTTGGGAAAGAGAAAAGGGCTTTACTGTAGAGGGAAATGCCCCTTGGTTTTTCTTTTGTGATTTTAATCATTTTTTTTAATCAAATAATATTATACGTGAATCCAATTTTTTTTTCCCTTTTTTAATCACACATTCTCTGAAAAAAGCACTAAAAAAACACATTTTTCCTCAAAAATACATTTTGATGGAGCATAAATAGGGGATATATTTTCTAAACATTTAAAACTGCTTAGAATTAGCATTTTTGGAAGTGGATTATCTATGTTTTATGAGCTCATTAGACAAGATTTTTGTTACTTTGTTTATTATTATTATTATTATTATTATTAATTATTATTTATTTATTTATTATTATTATTATTATTTTTTTTTTTGTGGTGTCTTGTAGAAGATATTTCTAATATCCGTCGTTATTAAATATCGCATTTCAGACAGGCCGGTAGGCGGTAGCCATCAAGGAAATTGATGTATCTTTAGAAGTCTGTTGTCTACTTGATAGATGATTTTATATTCAAGGCTACGTCATTATTAATTATATGATACTGAAAATTATTTATATAATACAAAAAAAATATTAATAATTCTGTAAATTTGTGTGTTGAAGTCAAATTCGATAGCTAATCGTCAACAACGTGAATTGGATGGGATGTATAAAATTCTTTATTGCTGGGGAATTTACAAAAATGTCACTTTTTTTAAAAATGCAAAAGAAAAAAAAAAAAAATTGATGTGCACATAATTTGTATAAAAATATCAATTTCTTGTTGTGAAATGTCTAAATTACCCTTAATTTGACCTTTTTGGAGCATTTAATGCTCCTTCATAATTGTTTTTCGAAACAATTAATGTTGTGATTAGATTATTTAATTTGTATATTATAATCATTGAATATATGAATATTATATTGTAAAATGCGAATTTAGTTAATAAAAAATAAATATAAAATCCTTAAAAACCCTAATTAACATAAAAAAAACAAATTTCTTGTTAAACAAACCCTTATTTAATTCATCATCTTCATTTATTTTCTTCTTGGTCAAGAAGACATTACTTCATCAATCTTCTTCATCTATTTTGAAAGGTCAATTATTACGAATTGTTTATATTTTTATGTAATAGCTTATGAATTGTTCTTGTTTTTAAAATATTTTTGAAGGAAAAACATACAAAAAATATTTAGGAAAATGTGAAGTATTTCATATTTAATGAAGCATTCAGTCATTTATATTTGGAAATAGGTTGTGATATTGTAGTTGAGAAATGATTATAATCATTAATGCTACTAAACACATTTGAAGCTTCTCGACAGTTCCGACAGTTGAACTATCGAACTCGACATTTCGAAATTGTCGGGATCGACATTTTAACTGTCTAACCCGACATTTATAAGATTTGACGGCTTTTTTTTTTTTTTCACAATTGACGGTTTTTTTTTTCTTTTCCAAAATTTGATATGACACTTACACAATTATAAAAAAGAGACATGCAAGGTATTCAAGTTCTTTTGAAGGGTAAAAATGAACAAATATGACATTTGTGTAAAGAGTTTTAAAAGGTGATATTTTTGTAAATGACAACTAAAAAAATAACATGGGGTGTAATTTCCTCTTCTTTTCTTTATTTTATGTAAACTTCCATTATTATTTCCGTATGGAGTGCGTTATTCAACAGGGAGTTTATTTAAAAATGCAGTTATGTTAAATACTGTATGTATATTTATATGTATAAATTGAAGTAGGATACGTGAATAATAATAAAAGGTAGTTGTTCGTAACATACAAATTGGTGGTGCTTGAATTTAGTGCGAATAAATGTGAGAAGTATTAGAATTCACCAAATAACGAAAAACTAAATTATTATTTAATAGAAAACGAATATAGGATTTTCAAATCCTTAACTCATATTCAAAGAATCAAAACGAAACATAATCAAATCGAAATCTTAATTCAGCAGATAATTTTGAATAAAACAAAAAGATTGCAAAAACGTTGAAAATATCCTTAAGCTAACTGAAAAAAGAGTCTAAAACCGACTCACATACGATGAAGTTTGACCCTGAAAACTTGACAACATTGATCCATCAAAATTGTACAGAATTGAAAAACCCTTTCAAATTATACTTGCTAGCGAAAGTTACATACATTTTCGTAGACCATTCTTATTTCTCATTTTTTCAACTAGTTTATGATTTTCTCTTCTATCTATTATGCTTCGTAAATAATGACATTATACATCAATTAATTGGAGGATAAATTTATGGTGAATTTCAGAAATTAAATTAAATTTGTCGGATTAACTTAAACTGAGAAAAACTTATTTGTAGATTATTTTCTATATTTATTCAAAGTAACTGCAATTTGGAACCCTATTATAGTTAAACCACAAATTCAGAAATACCTTGTGGATGTACAAAATAAATAGTGTAGTTCTTGCAGTGGTCTTTCTAAATATATTTTGGTGAACATGAGCGATTAGCTTGTATGTTCATGGAAAACTTCACATTTGCGACAGCAAGCAATGGGGAACGCTGGCGAAGGGGTGGAACATGGGCGGGCATAGACACTCGATCGGCTAGACACCACATCTAGTTCTATTTCGTCAACCTTTTTATTTATTTTTCGTTTTATTATTTTTTTTAAGTAATTTTAGGTTGATCGTAGTGCCCAATTTAGCTAGGGTAGTGGTGGTGACAATATGAAAGAAAACTCAGAAAGTTAAAGGCAGCAAGTAAAAACCTGTTCTTTTATGAAATAAAAAGGAAAAAAACACCAAAACAATTAATTTGCCCGCTAGATTAAGCCTAAATATATTCACACCACAATTTTTAATAACTAGATTACATTTTAATTGTATGAGAGATTTGTAACCTTTACACATTATTATATTTATAACTCAAACATTTTTCATTGCATTTTCACAAATTAACATAAATTGATCCAGATAATGATTTCTCTTCAAATTTTTCTTTGTGATAGAGCAAAAAGACTCATTTGTCCATTGTATTTTTTGAATAAATAAAAATAATAATACTTCGAAAATGCAATTAGATATTTTACACTTATTTTAAGTCACGTTAATAATATTTTGGATAAAAATTGTGATTAAAGATAAAAAATTTTGATTAATAAGATGTTAAAAACAAGAATATGATGAATAAAAAAGTTAAGAATATAAGTATGATAAGAATAAAGGTTAATGAGTAAAATGTAATGTATTTATTAAAAAATGCAATGCGAATACAACCACCCATCTTTTAATTAGACATTAAAAACAATTTAGATGGAAGGCTAAACTCCATCTTTTATTTAGAAGTTAAAAATGTTGGAATGTAATCCTTCAAGGGAAGTGGAGAAGAGAACAAAAAAAAGAATCAAGATTACCAAAATATAATAGAAAGGCTCAAACAAGAGATCGTTGTCTCAAACGATATTTGCCCCTCTAAGATTTAATTGATATTTAAAGGGGCTCTTAACAAATGATTTGTAGGATTGATCAAGACTTGTAGAAGAAAATATTTGTTTGAATTGCAATTTTAAACATGAAAACATGACTAACCACTAACATCATGGACTTAGAATTAAGCCACAATTCAACACACCACTGTTGAAAAATCAATAAACTCCTAAAACTGGGAAACAAACTTTGAAACATTCAAATTAAATAAAAGAAATATAGCTTTAACAGCGTGGCAGCCATTCTAAACACCGCTTCTGACAAGATGTTATATTAAAGAAAACAGAAAACTACAGCTGATCAATTAAGGTTTTCTGGAAAAGATTATTGTGACGGTGGATTGAGATTAGTCTATTCCAACTATAACTTTTCCACACCCAAAAATAGTACATTTACTGTTTATTGATATAGATTTTACATCTGATTACAAGAAGAAAAAACATGATCTGCGATGAAAGTATGTCTTAATAAACTTATTAGAATTATCTAGTAGTAGATAAAATCAAGGATCATAAGGGGTAGCAATTACATAAAGGTCTTCTTTTCTTGATGCAGTTATTCCAGAGTTCTCGGTCATGTCTAAAGTATCTGGACTGATTCCTTCCGGGAGTTTCCAGTCGAAGTTATAGAGAAGTTGAGCTAAAGGAAGCTCAACTCCAGCTATCCCAAAAGTCATTCCCGGACACATTCTTCTTCCTGATCCGAATGGAAGATATTCAAAGTCATTTCCAGCGTAGTCTAAACCGTTGTTCTCAAATCGTTCTGGTTCAAAACTTTCGGGGTTAGTCCAATACTTAGGATCTCTGCTCATTTCCCAAGCGTTTACAAAGACTTTGGCATTGGCAGGTATAAAATATCCATTGACTTCACTATCTTTCGTACTAGCTCTTGGGAGAAGGGGAACTGCTGTATGCATCCTCAAGGTTTCTTTTATTACCATCTTTAGGTACTTTAACTTTTGAAGATCTGTGTCATCTATGATTTCACGTCCCTTAAAAATTTCTCGTACTTCAGATTGTGCCTTCTCCATTACTCGTGGATTCCTTATAAGTTCGGCCATAGCCCAATCAGTTGTCGATGATGATGTATCTGTTCCAGCTGAGAACATATCCTACATAATATCCACCAGCCTTGTTAATCAAAATATAACGAGCAATTAATATTACATATAGAAGGTTAAATAATAGTCAAAATACTTACAGAGATAACAGCTTTGATGTTATCATAGTTAATAGGAATGGAAAGTTCCCCACTTTCCTTTACTCGTAGGAAAACATCAACTAAATCTTCGTTGCCGAACTCTCCGTTTCCCCTTCTTGTCTGATCTGCTTGGCCAAAACTTTCGTTGTCCTTGCTCATTCTTGCCAAATTCTCTTTGTGTTCATCAATTATTTCGTCAAGAATCACATCAAGTTTGCGGCGCATTGCCCATAATTTTACCTTAGTCGAACTGAAAATTCTTAGTATCTTCGAAGAAGGAAACAGGTCAGCCAGTTCAAAGCCTGCCGCTAAGGATACACCTTCCTTGAATAGTTTTACCAGTGTGTCTTTATCTTTGCATATTTTACCGAACGCTGCTCTGGCAGTAATTGAACTTGTCGACGAGAAAATCTTCTCTGTGAGATTTATGGGTTTTCCGGCGGATGATTTAATTGATTTGACGAGTTTAAGAACCTCATCACTTCTAATGGAAGCAAAAGATCGAACCTGTTTGGAACTTAGAAGTTCCAAAACGCAGATTTTACGCATTTGTCTCCAGTAATCATTATATGGACTAAATGCCATATCAGTGTGATTATACCATAAAATCTCAGTAGACAAAGTTCCTGATCTGGCTGCAAAAGTAGGATCTTGATTTCTCAGTACTTCTTTTGAAATTTCCGGGGAAGATATAACAATTGCTGAAGTTTCACCGAGCTTCAAATGCATTATTGGTCCATATTTTTTGGCTAATTCTTTGAAATCACGATGTGGAAGTAGACTTACAAGGTGCAAATGTCCAATTATGGGCAACTGTTTGGGACCAGGTGGGAGTTTTCGGAGTTTTGTATCAGCTTTGGATTTCTTCCATTTGGTGAACAAGAGGACGATCAGGGAAATAAAGAGAGCAGAAGTAGAGTAACTGAAGAGAAAGGTAAGATCCATTTGTGTGGAAGAAGAAGGGTTTTAATGCAGGGAAAAAAAAAAAGAAGAGAAAAATCTTTCTTTGATCGCTTTTAATGCTACGGATGAAATACGCATATATAGAGGAAAGCCAAGTAGCATGAGTCAACGTTTTAACGTATATTTTATTAGTCATCTTTCTACTTATAGCAGTCGGTTTTGACCAAGCATTTTCTTAATAATTTCTGAATTAGCATTTTATTTGGCCGTCTGTTTTGACCCAATATTTTCTTAATAATATTTGAATTAAGACTATATATGTGAACGTAAGGACTTGGCGTCCGCCTAATATTTTTGTCTTCATGGCTACGTGCAACAAGTTAGGCCTTACATTTAAATGTGAAAAATAAAATAAAATTCGACAATCTAGAAATTTAACATTTGTGATCGCTTCGAAATGGTCAGTGATCTTTTCTATTTCAATTATGTAACTAGGTTAAATTTCATTAACTATTCTAATGGAAGGTGTGGCATGAAATACGTGCATGATGATACAACTTTGTATTGTCAATAGTCATGTAAAATATTTTGTTAGGAAGAAACAAATTTCAATTATCATGTTGAAATAAAATGAAAATCGATAAATAACATAAAATTAAAATTTTATTGTTCGTTTAGTGACTAATAGTGTTTTTGAACATACTTTTAGAAGCCAAATCATTGAACTCTTGAGATTGATGTAAATTATGAGATTCGTATCAAATATCAGTTAAGCCACGTTAGGTTGACTCAAATTGAATTGAAAAAAGAAAAAAAAGAAAAAGAAAAAGGGAGGTTGGCTAAATAAGAGTCATATGTTCCCGCTACAAAAATAAAGGAAAAGGCTTGTGCAAATAAAGGATGTAAAATCATATCTAGGATCATGGTATACTTTCGCTTCTAATCTTCTCTTTGATTTCAACATGGAGAATTTATGCGCATATTAATGGGTTTGATATAACATTTGGTCCCTTTCCAATTTCTATAGTAACGTAAGTGGTTTAAGTTTGAGTTTCAATTGTCGGATTAACCACGTGGTCAATCAAATTGAGCTTGCTTTACACCATTATTGAAGATCATTTGGGACATATTTTGATCAACAATCCGTATTGGAGTGAAGATTGGTATAAATCAGCAGAAAAAAGATCGAAAACATTTGAAAAACCAATAATTCCATAGTGATTGAACCTGAAATTGAGATATCCAGCAAATCCATAACTTAGAAGTAGATTCGACTCTTGGAATCTAGGTAAAGGCAACAGTCTAGCGTATAAGACACACGAACCATCTGACACGACCTAGATAAAGCCCACATGTAGACACTGAAGAGGCTCATGCCTGATTATTTAACAAAACTTTCCGAAGACAGATTATTCCTGGCTATTCTACGGACTTACTGGTGGTCATTTTTTGTTTCGAGCAATATGCTGAATCTGTACAGTTTTACCTTTGGTCGTTAAGTTGTCGATCCTTTTTTTTTTGCGTGCTCTAGTTGCTGAAAGTTTTAGGGCAAATAATGGTGGCCCTAAAACTGTAAAGTTTGCATCTCACATTAAATTTACAGATCGAAAGATTGGTCAACTCAATATCGTGTTTTTCTTTATTGTTAGTGCAGTTAAGCCTATCGTGTGGGGTTAGCAATTCACTTCTCGCATTAGAAGTCATCGTTGGAAAGTTATCATTAAGGTTATAGTGTTTTCTCTATTATTTGCTAATTCGTTCCTTATATTCTTCATAATTGTGCTTTAGATTTTTTTCTATTGATTTTGTTGCACTGATTATTCTATTAGAATTACCATTTAGACTCCACTTATATGACTATTCCATTGATCTGGAATCACGAATATCACGAAATCTTGAAAATCTAGAATGATATATATTGTGACCTTAGAAAAGTTTGATTCGCTATTTTGGAGTTAATTAACCAAATAGTCACTGAACTTTGCTAAATGTTTCCAAGAGATCATCAAATTTCAAAACTTCCTTATTTAGTCACTGAACTTTGTAAAAAGTTCTCAAGAGATCACGAAATTTCAAAACTTCCTTAAATAGTCACTAAACTTTGCAAAAAAAAAAAAAAAAAAAATCCTAGAGGTTCACTCAAGTTTGTAAATTTCCAATTATAGTTAACCGTTTGGGACCTGTGGAAGTTTTCGTTGTTTACTAAGAGTGGGATTTCTTCCATCTAGTAATGAACAAGAAAACCAAAGACAGAAATGTAGAAGGTGTTCGGCACCCATTTTCATGATAAAATGAATTTTAGAATAGTAAATTGATGGAAAATATGTGGATGAAAAATAAAGAATACTTTTTTATTTACGTGTAATATGATTTTAATGAAGAATGTGTCGTTGAAAAGAAGAAAGAGAAAAATATATTTTGAGAAAATGAGAATCAAATGGGGTCATAGTTAGTTAGAGTGGTGAAGTTAAAGGGAATATGGGGATCCGTTTTTTGTGAAAGAGAAAAGGGTCTTACTACAGGGAAAAAAAAATTCTTTTTTTCTTCGATTATACAATATTTTGGATGAAAGAATAACACACCCAAACACGTATACATACCCAACCATTGTAAGGGACGAGAGTAGTATTAAGGTTTGACGTTTGAATGTAGTCTTCAATCTCTTCTCTTGAATAGCAGTCTGTTTTGACTAGATATTTTATTACTAATTCATAAATTAAAGACTCTCGATGGATATGGCCTAAACCTAAAACTGTTTCTTTTTTAATCACATATTCTCTAAAAAGACGCTAACAAAACACATTTTTCCTCAAATATACATTTTGATTGAGCCTAAATAGGGGATATATTTTCTAAACATTTAAAATTGCTTTAGAATTAGCTTTTTTGGAATAGGATTATCCATGTTTTATGAGCTCATTGGACAAGATTTTTGTTTTCTTTTTATTTTTTCTTCTTCTTCTTCTTCATTATTATTATTGTTATTTTGGGTGTCTTGTAGAAGATATATCTAAAGGATCTGGAGAAAGAATTTCAAGAAAATTATGCAAAGATGTTCGAAAATAGATTCTGAATCCTAAAATTAGTTCTCTACTTTATAAAAGCTCTGCTGAACGAGTTATACATAAAATTACATTCTTTAGCTGTTAGAAAATAATAGGCAGCACAGATCCATTTTAAATAATGAGTTTCATTATATCCGTCGTTATTAAATATAGAGTTTCAGACAGGCCCGTAGCCATCAAGAAAATTGATGTATCTTTAGAAGTCTGTGTCTACATGATAGATGACTTTATATATTCAAGGCTATGTCATTATCAATTATATGATACTGAAAATTATTTATACAATACAAAAAATATTAATAATTCTGTAACTTTGTTTGTTGAAGTCAACTTCGATTACTAATCATCAACAACGTGAATCGGATGGGATGTATAAAATTCTTTATTATATGTAAACTTCCACGATTATTTCCCTATGGGCTATGGGGAGTGCGTTATTCAACAGGGAATTTGTTTAAAAACGCAGTTACGTTGAATACAATATGTATATTTATATGTGAATATTGAAGCAGGAAACGTGAATAATAATAACAGGTTGTTGTTCGTAACATACAAATTGGTGGTGCTTGAATTTCGCTCGAGTAAATGTGAGAAATATTAAAATCCACCAAATAATGAAAAATTAAATTAATATTTAATTAAAAAACGAATATAGGGTATTCAAATCCTTAACTCCTCAGTAGATAATTTTGAATAAAACTAAAAAATTGCACAAATGTTGAAAATATCCTTAAGCTGACTAAAAAAAGAGTCTAAAACCATAGTTATTAGACCTGATCTGGTGGTCAATCTAGAAAAATCGCCGGGTCAACGGGTTAATGGTTCGACCGGTGGGTTATTGTTTAGACTTTAATTTTAATTATATCTTATTTTTTAAATAAAAAGGAAACTATTTTCCGAAATCTAATATATATATTTTTGCTCACAATAAAAGACTTCGGGTCATTTGTTGCCATAATGGTCATGGAGGTAAATATCCCAGTCTTTTGTCAGGGTTTGAATCAAAGCTCCAGCAAATTTATTGTAAAATTTTACTTCAATTTAGAAATCATCCAGTTTACACACTGAACCGGATCCAGTTCTGGTTCAAACATCTTGGCTAGTGATTTCATCAATTTTTGACCGGTTCATAAGCTTACATGATCAATTAAATCACTCGGATTGGACCAAGATCTGGTTCGGCGATTCCCGAAAGTCGACCCACATATGATGAAGTTTGACCCCGAAAGCTTGATGACATTGGTCAGAGGCCAATCGTCACCCGTCAAAATTGTACATAATTTTTTTTTTTTTTTTATAATTAATTTTAGGTTGATCGTAGTGCCCAATTTAGCTAGGGTAGTGGTGGCGACAGTATGAAAGAAAACTCAGAAAGTTAAATGCGGCAAGCAAAAACCTGTTCTTTTATGAAAAAAAAAAATAAAGACAATTTGACCGCTAAATTAAGGCTAAATATATTCACACCACAATTTTAATAACTAGACTATATTTTAATTGTATAACAGATTTATAACCTTTACACGTTATTATATTTATAACTCAAACTTTTCTCATTGCATTTTTATTCACAAATTAACATAAATTTTTCCAGATATTGATTTCTCTTCAAAATTTTCTTTATGATAGAGTAAAACTACTCATTTCTCCATTTTATTTTTTGAATAAGTAAAACAAATAATACTTCAAAAATGCAATTAGATATTTGACCCTTATTTTAAAGCACGTTAATAACATTTTGGATGAAAATCGTGATTAAAGATAAAATTTTCTGATTAATAAGATGTTAAAAATAAGAATATGATGAAGAAAAAAAGTTAAGAATACAAATATGATAATGAATACGGTTAATGTGTAAAATGTAATGTATTTATAAAAAAAACAACGTAAATAAAACCACCCATCTTTTAATCAGACATTAAAAACAATTAAGATGGAAAACTAAGCTCCATCTTTTAATTAGAAGTTAAAAATGTTGGAATGTAATCCTTCAAGGGAAATCGAGAAGAGAATAAAAAGAAGAATCAAGACACCAAAATATGG